AAATATATTACTTTAGTTCAATAAATATGTCAGAATCCAGTCGCTGAAGACTACAAGGCCCCCCATGTTAGTAGTTTTTGGGGCTCCGTCTGCCTCAGCGCCACAGTACACAGTACAGAAACATGAGGTATTTAATGGTCGGTTTCCCAAACACGGCAGGATAATCAATAAACGTTTCATGATGTCTCGAAAGTCAGGTGTTGGCATTTGTATTGGCAACCCCACACAACTCTCAAAGTGAACATGAAGGTTTCTGCCACATATACACTGAAGGGATGGGGATACATTCATTGTTCGTTAGATGAAGGAGCAACTTCCGCTTTGCACAACAGGGTTTCTTTACCCAGTATAAACAGCAAACTGGACAACAGAGGATATTCCTGAGACAACTGTTAGCTCTCTCCAAATTGTTTCATTTTTAAAAAATGATTGTGATTATCAAAAGCAGTTGCCTTAATTAAAAAAGCTGTCCTTCGAATAAAGAATATTCAGATACACATTGTTTCCTCTTAGGGAATAACCGCAACAAATTTTTCAGCCATATCCCAAGTCATCCAGGATTTTACACTCACATTAAGGAGTTTTAACATCAATACTGCTTGTTGGTAGTTATCAAACTTCCCCTTGAAATTATAAGGCTGACCCACAGTGATGTGGCCAGCAGATCTGAGTCAAATGTGCTGATCTTACACAAAAGCTCACATTCTGCCTGGTGATACCAGCATCACCACAAAATGAATTAGAGTCAGGACTGTGTGTTGTGCCGTGCTCCGTGCAAAGTCACTCGTGAGGTTCTGCTCAAGTCCAAACAGAGTCTGTGTCGCCCACACCGGCCTCAGCAGCTGGGAGAGGTTGTGATGGGACTGTGGAGGAATGAGAGCTGCCCAGCGGAGGTGTGTACAGGGATGGAGACGGGGAAGTTGAAGACCGTGGAGCTCTTGCCAATAGCCGGACTTCCCGCCTCTGAGGAGCACGTGGACGAGGCCAGGACCTGCGATTCAAACTGGAGGAGCTGCCCCATGAAGCTGAAGTTGGGGGAGATGATGCTGCGACGCTGCTTGACAAACTCAAAGGCCTCATCCAGCTTCACACGGTTGGTTCGCATGAGGTAGGCCAGGCAAATAGTGGCAGAGCGGGAGATGCCAGCTTGACAGTGCACAAACACACGGCCACCTTTATTTCTCACCGAGTCTGGGGGATAAAGAGGAAGAAAGATTAGTTCAAAGTACATATCTGTGGGGTGTTGAAAAGCTGAGGTTATAACGCTACCCGTGACAGGAAACCACAAACTCAAAAAGGTACTAGCAACACTTTTAGTTCCCATTTAAATTTAAGAGCGCTCATTATAACACAGGAACACAGTTAATAGGGGTGCAGGGTGTGAGCTTGTGGGGGTTATTCCCAAAGGGGGGGCAGTCTGAATGGACAAAGGAGGGGAACAGACCCCTGCTGGGGGTATTGATCTGGGAGGAAGGCCGACAGTGTGAGTGAGGAGAAATCGCCTTTTGTTCTGCCAGAACAAAGAGCGGCGTGGAGTGAGCTATTCAAGCCCAGCCATCCTGCCCACCTCGGAGCTAGCTTGGGGGGGGTGCTGCCTTACGATTCATTAAAAGGGGGCATCCTTTTATCTACGCCTCAGAGGTGGCGATGATGTAACTGCCATTGTGGTGGAGTGGGGAGCCTGTGCCGAGCCAGCTGGTCGGTTTTGGAGGGAACTTTTTAAAATTTAAATCCGGGAGTCAAGGATTGAAGTGAAGTAAGAGGGGGTAGGGGGTTGGGTGTTTGTGTTGCTGGCCACCAATGGGCTTAGGAGGTAACAGCTGTGACAGGAGATCACATTTGGCAGTTGATGGAGGAAGGCGTAAAAAGCAGCGGATGTACTCACCGATAAAATCGATTGCCTCATTGAACCAGGAGCTGATATCGGCTTTGTGGTTGTCCTCCACGGGGATGCTCTTGTAGAGGAAGGAGTCCTCAAAATGATTGGGGCAGTTGGCAGAGACATTGATCAGAGCGGTGATCCCCAGCATGTCCAGCATGTCTTTTCTGGAGGCATGGTAAGCACTGCCCAGGTACAGGAAAGGCAGGATCTCAACAGGGCCGCCCTAAAAGCAAAAAATAAACAACACAACCAGGTCAACATTGGCTCCATGACAGAACATCAGGTAGAGAAAAAAGTAATGACTCTTAGGTTAAATTGTAATAAAAACACACAAACCTGATCGTATAAAGGGGTATTGCATGGACTACAGCTTGGGTCTGCACTCCCAGGGTGACTGGAGCTCAGGGGTAGACTGAGACCTTGAGGAGGGGAGGGTTTGGTGCACATCTCTGGATACTCTGTGGAAAATGTGTCAAACCCACCTACAAAACCAGATGGAAAAGAAGACAGCAAGGTCAGATCACAGATCACAGACAGCACAGAGACACATCCACATTTAAACACGGCTCTCCAAAATGGTGACAACTGCTCATGGGGCTATTTTGGAGCACCGCTTACTCCCAACACCAGCTGGTGTGGTGACAGCTGTAATCCACATTTGTTGTCCCGTCGTTAAGACACAGTAACACGATTGTGTTGTGAACCATTACACACTTTTTCTTACCTTTGAGGATGAAAACACTTGCTCCGGAGGGGTCGCGGCACAGAGCGCCGACAGCGAGCATCAGCGTCCCGTCTTTCTTCGCCTGACTTAAGTCCAAACTGCGGTCGTCGAGCAGCACCACGGACTGGTAGTCTCCGGAGAGCAGCCGGTTCCTGGTGTCCTCGTTCGGGACGATGTGCTCGAGTCCGAGACCCCCCCTGGCTCTCCGGCGCACTATGGTGCTGAAGCGCACGTTGGTGGAGCCCGATATGTGCGACGAGTTAAAGGAGAGGAAGGAGCGGCAGTCCAGCAGCAGGCAGCCCGGGACGGCGCGCTCCAACAAGGCACGCAGGGACGCAGAGTCGATGGTGGGGACCTCCATTATGACCATAGTAGGACGGCGGGATAGAAGAAGTAAATCCAGATACATAAAGCGTGAGAGGCAGCTAAACTCTCTTCCAAAGCTACTCTGTGGCACTTGAAGCTCCTTTCTTACGGTTCGTAAAAAGAAGAAAACCAGTAAAAAACGTGTGACACTCTTCTTCTTCTTCTTCTTGTTTGTATCCGGCAGCTGCGCCTCTTCCGTCAAACTTCCACACAACTTCTTTATGGTGACGCGCTTCTGTCAGTGAGCGTCCTGACTGCCGCTTATATACGGCTCGTGCTTGTGAATGAGAAGCCGCTGACGTCAAGGCCCGCCCCTCCTGGCCCCGTGCCAGATGCACTGACGTCAAACCGCCCGCCTCAAAGTACACGGCGGAGCTCGCGCGCACGTGCGAGAGATTTCGGCACTTTTTCACGTACGCGGGCACGCGCTGAAACAGGGAGAGAGAGGCTTTTCTTTCTCTCTTTCTTTCTACTTTTCTTTTTCTTTCTTACTGTCTGCCTTTCTTCTCTTTCTATTTTACACCCGTTCACACCAATGAATGTAAATAATATTAATAAGTGGTACAAAGGTATTGTACGTTTGTTTACAGAAACGTTCCTATGACACATTTTTTACTTCATTTATTCAGGTCAAAGACTTCAGAGACAGAAATGATCCATTACTTAATGGGTAGGGCCCAAATGACTGAAACATACCAATTTAGTCATACACTGATGATCTCATAACTTCACTGCCCAAACCTTTTTTTCCACATTCCATAGACTCATATATGTCATGTGACTGGACATGTTACAAATATCTGTCACTAGATTTGTTTACTTGTTAAAGTTAGTAAAATTTTCA